TCATGCTGGCTCAGGAATTCTGGGAGTTGAAGTCCACGAGTCATGAAGGGGCCAAAGTTTCCCTCATGCTGGCTCAGGAATTCTGGGAGTTGAAGTCCAAGAGTCATGAACGGGCCAAAGTTTCCCTCATGCTGGCTCAGGAATTCTGGGAGTTGAAGTCCACGAGTCATGAAGGGGCCAAAGTTTCCCTCATGCTGGCTCAGGAATTGTGGGAGTTGAAGTCCACGAGTCATGAAGGGGCAAAGTTTCCCTCATGCTGGCTCAGGAATTCTGGGAGTTGAAGTCCACGAGTCATAAAAGAGCTAAGGTTGCCTACCCCTGCTCTAAACTAATAAAGTCTACATTAATTAACATTAATTATGCTTTCATATGTTCCTCTGAGGGGTCTTCAAACTTGGCTCTTTTATGACGTGGACTTCAACTCCCAGAATTCCTGAGCCAGCCACGCTGAGGGGAAAGGGAGAGGTTTCCAAGCTGAGCCATGCCGGCTCAGGAATTCTGGGAGTTGAAGTCCACGAGTCATAAAAGAGCCAAGGTTGCCTACCCCTGTTCTAGTCCAACCCCCTATACAAGCAGGAGACCTTATACCATTCTGGACAAATGGCTGTCCAATCTCATCTTAAAAACCTCCAGCGATGGAGCACCCACAACTTCTGGTGGCAAGCTGTTCCACTGGTCAATTGTCCTCACTGTCAGGAAGTTTCTCCTTAGTTCCAGGTGGCTTCTCTCCTTGATCAGTTTCCATCCGTTGTTTCTTGTCCTGCCCGCAGGCGTTTTGGTAAATAATTGGCAAATGGGAAGGCAATTATGGGCCTAGCTGTGCCCCTCTCTCAGTTTCGAACCTGTGGTTCTTTGTAAGGTTGTGGTGAGGAAAAAAAAATGGGCAGGTAGTCCTTGACTTACACCCATTCATTTAGGGACCGCTCAAAGTTACAACGGCACTGAAAAATGTGACTTAGGAACGTTTTCCATCCTTGCCGCATCCCCAGGGTCACGTGATCCAAATTCAAACATGAACGAAGGCGAACAGAGGTGTCCCGGGATAATGTCGCAGGATCCAATCTGGGTCGGTCACCCGGGACCAGAGGTTTTTACTTCTGGGTTTTCGGACTCGTGCTGGAGCCTATCCTATTCAGTTCTCTGAAGGTGGAATTCAGTACGAGTCCTAAAGCTCGGAAGACCGGCCCAGATTGGATCCTGCAAAATTTGGACACTTGGCAACTGTCTTGTACCTATGACGGTCGCGGTACCCTGGAGTCATGCGATCACCTTTTGCGAACACTGCAAACAAGCTTTATAAAAAGGGTCACATTGTTACCAGCTTAACAACCAGCGCGAGTCGTGACCCTGTTTCCTGTCATAAATTCTGTTTGTATAAAGTCCGACAGCTCGTTGTCAACGCTGCTACCATCGGATGTTTCTTGCTTTGACAATATATGAAGATGCAGCCAATTTCCCCTTAACTTGTGTGTTACTTTTAGAGTTAGAGTTAGATGATACTGGGGGTGGGGGGAGGAGGAAGAATGTGTATGGAAATTAGTTAGATGTAACAACATCGTAGTGGAGTGTTTTTTTTTAAGGTTGTTTGAAATAAGAGATGATAAGAAATGGCGGGAAGAAGAACTGGAGGGAAGGTCTGCCTTTCAAACTAATTGGAGAATGTGATTTACGACTGTTAACTAGAGGAGGGAATTGTGCTTTGATACTATGTGTTTAGGGGAGGAGAATTGAGATTTCGGCTTCGGACGTGTACGTGCTGATGCCGTGCAACTTGAATAAAGATTCTTTAAGGTAAACAATGCCTCGAAGTTCTTTGAAGAGTTTCATCTGTCGGAACCATGACACTCAGACCAAGAGCACAGTCACCATGTGCGTTACTGCTCAACTGTTTTTAAACTATAACAGGAAACGCGAAACTCTGCTTAAAAGAAAAGAGCACGGCGTGTATCCCATCGATCCAAACTTTTAAAAACACTGCCGTCTACTGGCTGAATACTACTCTAGTTGTTGCACAGAAATACATCCCAATAAGGAATTCTGACATTTCCTGAGTCAGTTACGGTCGTAAGTCGAGAGCTGTCGGTGTAAATGCAAATATAAATGTAACTCTTTTATGTTTTGACGGTTTTAATTATTGGAATGTTGTTTGCTGCCTATAGTCAATTGGATTCAGATGGGCAGCTATTAAAAAAATATGAATGAATGAATGAATGAATGAATGAATGAATAAACAAACGAATGAATGAATTGAGGCAGTCACCTGCATTTCTTTCTCGGTTTCCGCGCTCTTCAGCAAAGGCTTGATCTTGAAGAACAGCTTCATCCACGGCCAGTTTTTCACCCCCATGAAAGCCCGGATGTTGTACTGGATAATGAGCAAGGCATCCCTGGTGGAAAGGACGACGGAGAACCACACTGTAACTTTTCGGAAAACCCTTTTCTCCCTCCCCCACCCTCCATCCCGTGGGAATTCGCTCCTCAAAAAAACACTCAGAATTCACAGCAATTCTAAGTGGAGTGTGAAGAAAAAAAAAGAGGCCCTTTTATGCGTAGTTGTCATTTAGCGGCTGATTCATTTAGTGACCATTCACCGTTACAACCGTGACAACAAAAAAGTAATTTTTCTGTCCAATCCTCACATTTCCTTCAGAAAGCTGAAGGAAGGTCAAAAAGCAGTCATATCTCTTAGGGATTGCTTCGCTTAACGACCAAATTGCTGGTCCCCGTTGCTAAACGAGGACTACCTGAATTCTTCTTTACATCATGTGTCTGAGCTGCCCAGAGTTGTGTGAAGTCTAATCAGTGAGAACAGAGCAGGAAGAGACCTTGGAGGTCTTCTAGTCCAACCCCCTGCTCAGGCAGGAGACCTTATTCCATTTCAGACAAGTGGTTGTCCAATCTCTTCTTAAAAACCTCCAGTGATGGAGCACCCACAACCTCTGGTGGCAAGCTGTTCCAGTGGTTAATTGTTCTCACTGTTAGGAAGTTTCTCCTTAACTCCAGGTTGCTTCTCTCCTTGATTAGTTTCCATCCGTTGTTTCTTATCTTGCCTTTTGGTGCTTTGGAAAATAAGTTGACACCCCCCCTCTTCTTTGTGGCAGCCCCCCCAAATACTGAAACTCTGCTATCATGTCCCCCCAAGTCCTCCTTTTCTCTAGGCTGGCCAAACCCAAATCCTGCAATCCTATGTTTTAGTCTCCAGGCCTTTAAATTGTCTTAGTTGCTCTTCTCTGCACTTTTTACAAAGTCTCAACATCTTTTTTTGTAACATGGGGACCAAAACTGGATGCAGGATTCCAGGTGTGGCCTCACTAAAAGCTTTATAAAGTTGACGTCAACATCCATAATCTTGATCTTGTCCGGGGCTCACCTGCGCTCCATGATCTTCTTGAATTCAATGCGCATGAGTTGGCCCCTTGCCCGGGCTTGGATGCGAGTGATGATCCGCGACAGCCGTTCGTCTCGCAACTCTTCCAGTTGGCCCAGCAGTCCCGCCTTGAAAAATACCTGTGGGATGGGAAGACCCGTTGGTTGGTTTCGTTTGTTTTATTCACCAAGAAAAAAAAAAAGGAAAAGGAAAGAATAAAGGTAGCCCTCAACCTATGGCCACCGTCGAGCTTGAAATGTTTGTTCGGGGAGTCTTGTCCCATTTTACCTCTTTCCTTGGCACATTCGTTAATTGAATCACTGCGGTTGCCCCAAAGGTGTTTTTTTTTTAAGAGGCAACTGTTTTTCTTCGAAGACATTTTGCTTCTCATCCGAGAAGCTTCCTTAGCTTCGCAGTTGTTAAGATAGTCACACACTTGTTAAGTGAATCTGGCTTCTCCATTGACTTTGTTTGTGACAAAGTCACAAAAAGGGATCACGTGACACCCCCCCCCGGGACGCTGCGATCATCATAAATATGAATCGGTTGTCAACAGTGGTGGGATTCAAATACCTGAACATCCGGTTCTCTGCATGGATGCAGGCCTGGGCCTCCGAGGCCTAGAATGGACTTCCGGAAGTGACATCCACACACTTCCTGTGGGCCCTTCTAGGCGTGGGAGGCCTCCTCCAGGACTCTGAGGCCTAGAACTGACTTCCGGAAGTGACATTCACGTACTTCCTGTGGGCTGTTTTAGATGTGGGAGGCCTCCTCCAGGCCTCCGAGGCCTAGAACGGACTTCCGGAAGTGACATCCACTTACTTCCTGTGGGCTGTTCTAGGTGTGGGAGTCCTCTGAGGCCTAGAATTGACTTCCGGAAGCGACATCCATGCACTTCTGGTGGGCCGTTCTAGGTGTGGGAGACCTCCTCCAGGCCTCTGAGGCCTAGAACAGACTTCCAGAAGCAGTGTGGGTTCAGCTGGTTCTCTGAACTCAACAAAATTTAGCTACCGGTTCTACTGAACCAGTGCGAACCAGCTGAATCCCACCACTGGTTGTCAAGCATCTGAATGTCAATCATGTGACCGAGGGGATGCTTGCAATGGCCGTAAGTATGAAAAACGGTTGTAAGTCACTTTTTCCAGTACCGTTGTAACTTCGAACGGTCACTAAATGAACTGTTGTAAAGTCGAGGACTACCTGCACAAAAACATGGTTGTAAGATCCACTTGTCAAACGGATTTCCCTTTTAGTTGTCATTTGCACGGAGGTGGTATTTCTTTCTCAGCGGTATTGTGCTAGTCTGGGCTTTTATGATCGCATTTTTCAGGATTTCCCACACTTCCTGGGTTGTTTTCCCCTTTAGGATTTTCATCCATGGGATCTTTCCTAGGTTCTCTCTGAGTTTGTTAAAGTCGGCTCTTTCGAAGTTTAGGATGCTGGTTAGATTGTTTTCTATTGCTAGTGTTTGCCTTATATTAAATCCTTTTGACAAGTGGATCTTACAACCTTGGTTTTGTTTAAGCAGTCCTCGATTTACAACAATTCATTTAGTGACCTTTCGCCGTTACAACGGCACTGGAAAAAAGTGACTTATGACTGTTTTGTTACACTTACGACCGTTGCAGCATCCCCAGCGGTCACGTAGTCCAAATTCGGATGCTTGGAAACTGGCAGGTATTTATGACGGTTGCGCTGTCCCGGGATTACGTGATTCCCCTTCTGCAGGAAAAGTCAACGAGGAATCCAGATTCACTTAACAACCGTGTTACTAACTTAACAATTGCAATGATTCACTTAACAACGGTGGCAAGAAAAGTCATAAAATGGGGCGTAAGGCTCACTTAACACACATTTCGCTTAGCACAGGGGTAGGCAACCTTGGTTCTTTCATGACTCGTGGACTTCAACTCCCAGAATTCCTGAGCCAGCCACGCTGAGGGAAAAGGAAGAGGTTTCCAACCTGAGCCATGGCTGGCTCAGGAATTCTGGGAGTTGAAGTCCACGAGTCATGAAGGGGCCAAAGTTTCCCTCACGCTGGCTGAGGGATTCTGGGAGTTGAAGTCCACAAGTCATAAAAGGGTCATAGTTCCCTCACGCTGGCTCAGGAATTCTGGGAGTTGAAGTCCACGAGTCATGAAGGGGCCAAAGTTTCCCTCATGCTGACTCAGGAATTCTGGGGGTTGCAGTCCACAAGTCATAAAAGAGCCAAGCTTGCCTACCCCTGGCTTAGCAGCATAAATGTGCATTTCCTTCCGGATTAATAAGGAATTAGCAAAATCTCTTTTAGGGGCCCTTAACAGGAGTGTGCAAAATCCGAATCCTACAATCTCCCCCTTTCCAAGATCAAAATAGCCCTGCTGGTTTTATCCTCAAAAGCTGAAGTTTTTCCCCTGGGGTCCTTAAGGGAAAAGCGAAGGAGGGGGCGCATAGAAACCCCCTCCCCATTCCAAATTTGCTTGCCTCACCTTGGTGTGTCCAAATTTGTACTGGTTATGGTCAATGTCCAAGGAGCTCAGAAGCTTCTCGGCCCCCTTCCGGCTGTCGATGAACTGTCCCTCCGGGATGGCCGCAGGGTTTAAGATGCGGTACCTGGTGCGAAAGGAGAGATTTGACTGAATTTTCTTGCTCAAGGTTAACCCCAAAGAAGGAAGGGGTGGGGGGTTCCACCTATTCTCCAAAGTACCTGAAGGCAGGACAAGAAGCAACGGATGGAAACTAATCAAGGAGAGAAGCAACCTAGAACTAAGGAGAAACTTCCTAACAATGAAGACAATTAACCAGTGGAACTGCTTGCCACCAGAGGTTGTGGGTGCTCCATCACTGGAGGTTTTTAAGAAGTGATTGGACAGCCATTTGTCTGAAATAGTATACGGTCTCCTGCACTACCTGTGGTCTTTTTTTAAAAAGTATTTTATTAATTTTCTATTATTACAATTCATTAGTGCTTAAGGAACGCCGTGTCGTCTGGGTTGATTTTTTTTTTTGCTTAGTCCTAAAAGTTAAGTTGTTACTCTCTGTCTCGTTTTTTTCCAGCCATTGATAAAATAAGTTCCATATCTGAAAGTATTCTGTTTCTTTGATAAGGTCTTATCAAGTGGCCTTAACCCATCACGAGATCTTGATTCTCTCCTTCTGTTAGGCAGGCTGAGCGGACCCTCCCCAAAAGACCCTTTTTGAACGCCAGGGGAGTGGATTCACCTTTGTCTGAAGTCCCCGTAGAGGATCCGGTTGGGGAATCCTTTCCGACAGATCCGGATCCCTTCCAGGACGCCATTGCACCGTAACTGGTGCATGACCAAAGGATTGTCCATTATACCTGAGAAAGAAAAGGAGACACTAAGAGAGGAAGGAAAATTAAAAGATTACCCCCCTTGGAAAGATGCATCCTGGGCCCACTGTCTGGATTCACACAACCACACTAAACCCGAAGGGCATAACAAAAACAAAAATTAAAAAACCACAAAGGAGGGGTTTGTGCAATAGGCAATGGTCAAGAAATGAAATAGAACAGGGGTTCTCAACCATGGCAACTTTAAGACTTGTGGACTTCAACTCCCAGAATTCCTCAGCCAGTGCGCCTGGCTGAGGAATTCTGGGAGCTGAAGTCCACAAGTCATACATGGGTCATAATTTCCTCACGCTGGCTGAGGAATTCTGGGAGTTGGTCCACAAGTCATAAAAGGGCCAAGTTTGAAGACCCCTACTTGTGGACTTCAACTCCCAGAATTCCTCAGCCGGCGTGAGGGAACTAGGACCCTTTGATGACTTGTGGACTTCAACTCCCAGAATTCCTCAGCCAGGCGTGAGGGAACTATGGCCCTTTGATGACTTGTGGACTTCAACTCCCAGAATTCCTCAGCCAGGCGTGAGGGAACTATGGCCCTTTGATGACTTGTGGACTTCAACTCCCAGAATTCCTCAGCCAGCGTGAGGGAACTATGACCCTTTTATATGGACTTCAACTCCCAGAATTCCTCAGCCAGGCGTGAGGGAACTATGACCCTTTTATGACTTGTGGATTTCAACTCCCAGAATTCCTCAGCCAGCGTGAGGGAACTGTGGCCCTTTTATGACTTGTGGACTTCAGCTTTGCTGGCTGAGGAATTCTGGGAGTTGAAGTCCACAAGTCTTAAATTTGCCAAGGTTGAGGACCCCTGAAATGGAATATTCTGAATTATGCAACCGGCTGTAACGGGCAGGTAGTCCTCCACGTACAATCAAATTTTGGAGCCACAAATTTCCATTGCCGTTAACTGAGTTTTGCCCCATTTTGCGACCTTGCTTGCCACAGTCGTTAAGTGAGTCGCTGCAGTTGTTATGTCAGTGACACGGTCGTTAAGCGAATCTGGCTTCCCCCCATCGACCTTGCTGATCTGAAGGTCGCAAAAGGGGATCGTGTGACCCCGGGACGCTGCAGCCGTCATAAATACGAATCAGTTGCCAAGCGTCTGAATTTTGGGTCATAAGTGTGAAAAACGGACATGTCCCTTTTTTTCAGTGCCGTGGTAACTTTGAATGGTCACTAAATGAACGGTTGTTAAGCTGGGGACTATCGCTACGCTATCTGGGAGCAATTCTGCAGTTCACAATCTCTAGAGATCTGATGCAGCTACTCCTCAACTTACAACGGTTTCATTTAATGGCCGTTCAAAATTATGTCAAAAAAAAGTGATTCAGGAACATTTTTCACACTTACAACCGTTGCAGCATCCTCCATGGTCACGGGATCAAAGTCAGATGCTTGGAAACTGACTCATATTTACGACGGTCGCAGTGTCCCCAGGTCACGTGATCCCCCTTTTGCGAACTTCCGACCGGCGACGTCAATGGGCGGAAGCCAGATTCAGTGAACAACCCTGTTACTAACTTAACAACTGCAGTGATTCCCTTAACAACTGTGGCAAGAAAGTTCGTAAAATGGGGCAAAACTCACTTAACAGAAATTCTGGGCTCACTTGCGGTCGTTAAGTCGAGGACTACCTGAATTTCCCTGCTAGGTGTCGCCTTCCGCCTTGCCGTAAAATGCATGCCGTTTTTCTGAATTTTGTGGGAGGATCCAATTTGTGGTGCCGGGGGTCGGCAACTCGGGCCCCTGCCCTGGCCCTTGAACTTCCAGGAAGGAAAGGAGGACTTCCTTTCTCCGTTTCCTTCCTGGTTCTCAGCCAGCTGTCAAACAGGAAATGAAGACGAGAAGGAGCAGCGTGATGCCCAGCTGACTCCAGCAAGGACAGAGATGCCGGCCAAGGGACGGGAGTCTTGCGAGTTCCCCAATCTGAAGGCCTGGCTCTCCCGCCCCGTCAGCGGATCCCTTTCGATCCCACTGGATTACCGGGGGCCTTCCGTTCGTTGGGGATGATGCACCGCACAAAATGAGGGTGGGTGGTTTTGAGGTTGGCCATCAACTTGTTGAGGTTCTCCTGCCGGAAGAAAAGGAGAGGAGGAGGAGGAGGAGGAGGAGGAAGGAAGGGGAGGGGAAAAGAGATAGAGGGAGGGAGGAAGAAGGGAAGGAGAGCCAGAGGAAGGAGAAACGAGAGATTGAGCGAGGGAGGGAGGGAGGAAGAAGGAGAGAGAAGAGGAGAGAGAAGGAACCGAGGGAGAGAAGAGGGGAAGAGGGGAAGGAAGGAAGGAAGGAAGGAAGGAAGGAAGGAAGGAAAGAAAGAGGAGTAGAGACAGAGGGAGGCAGGGAGGGAGGGGAGAGGAGAAAGGAGAGAGAGAAGCAACAGAGGGAGGGAGAGAAGAGGGAGAGAGAAAGGGAAGCAAGGGAGAGGAGAAAGGGATGGATGGATGGATGAAGGATGGGTGGGTGGATGGAGGAAGGAAGGAAGGAAAGAGGAGTAGAAGAGAGACAGGGAGGGAGGAAGAAGGAGAGAGAGGAGAAGAGGAGAGAGAGAAGCAACAGAGGGAGAGAAGAGGGAGAGAGAAAGGGAAGCAAGGGAGAGGAGAAAGGGATGGATGGATGGATGGATGGATGAAGGATGGGTGGATGGAGGAAGGAAGGAAGGAAGGAAAGAGGAGTAGAGGAGAGACAGGGAGGGAGGAAGGAGGGAAGGAGAGAGAGGAGGAGAGAGAAACAACAGAGGGAGGGAGAAAAGAGGGAGAGAGAAAGGGAAGCAAGGGAGAAGAGAAATGGATGGGTGGATGGATGGATAAAGAATGGAGGGAGGAAGGAAGGAAAGAGAGAGAAAGAGGAGAGATGGAGGGAGGGAAGGAAGGAAGGAAGGAAGGAAGGAAAAAGAGAGAGAGGAGGAGAGGGACAGAGAGGAGAGAGAGAAATGTTCATTATGTTTCTCTTGGCAAACCCCAGTAAGCTCTAAGCCAGTCTTTCCCCACTGAGCTCTATAGACCCCCAACTCCCAGAATCCCCCAGCCAGCACGCCATGTTGGGACCCCCCTCCCCCGCTATCAACCCTGTCCCAAAAGCCCCAACTGCGGCTTCTAGTCAGCTCCCAATCCCTGACTCCCAGCTCCTCCCCCTGGGAAGCCTAGAACCCATCCTCCCCGTCCCCGGGGTGTGTGTGTGTCCCCGTCTCCTACCCGGTGTAGCGCTGAGACGGTCTGGAAGGAGGAGCCTTTCTTCTTGGAGCCTTTGCCCTTCCCGCCCTCTCCGCCTGGGGAAGGAGAGAAGGGTGAGGCCCGGAGGATCTCTCAGCTGCACAAGTCCAGAGAGTCCTCGACTTACCACTGTTTCTTTAGTGACCACAGTTATGACGGCCCTGAGAAAAGGGACTTACACCTAGTCCTCACGCTTACGACCTTTCCTTTCCTTCCCTCTTTTCTATTTTCCTTCCTTTCTTTCCTTTTCCTTTTTCTTTCTTTCCTTTTTCTCTCTTCCTTTCCTTTTTCTCTCTTCCTTTCCTTTTTCTGTCTTCCTTTCCTTTCCTTTTTCTATCTTCCTTTCCTTTTTCTATCTTCCTTTCCTTTCCTTTTTCTATCTTCCTTTCCTTTTTCTCTCTTCTTTTCCTTTCCCTTTTCTATCTTCCTTTCCTTTTTCTCTTTTCCTTTTTCTATCTTCCTTTCCTTTCTTTTTTCTCTCTTCCTTTCCTTTTTCTCTCTTCCTTTCCTTTGCTTTTTCTATCTTCCTTTCCTTTTTCTATCTTCCTTTCCTTTCCTTTTTCTATCTTCCTTTCCTTTTTCTATCTTCCTTTCCTTTCCTTTTTCTATCTTCCTTTCCTTTTTCTCTCTTCCTTTCCTTTCTTTTTTCTATCTTCCTTTCCTTTTTCTCTCTTCCTTTCCTTTGCNGCGTGAGGGAACTAGGACCCTTTGATGACTGGTGGACTTCAACTCCCAGAATTCCTCAGCCGGCGTGAGGGAACTAGGACCCTTTGATGACTGGTGGACTTCAACTCCCAGAATTCCTCAGCTGGCGTGAGGGAACTAGGACCCTTTGATGACTTGTGGACTTCAACTCCCAGAATTCCTCAGCCAGCGTGAGGGAACTATGACTCTTTTATGACTTGTGGACTTCAACTCCCAGAATTCCTCAGCCAGCCTGAGGGAACTATGGCCCTTTGATGACTTGTGGACTTCAACTCCCAGAATTCCTCAGCCAGCTTTGCTGGCTGAGGAATTCTGGGAGTTTAAGTCCACAAGTCTTAAATTTGCCAAGGTTGAGGACCCCTGAAATGGAATATTCTGAATTGTGCAACCGGCTGTAACGGGCAGGTTGTCCTCCACGTACAATCAAATTTTGGAGCCACAAATTTCCATTGCCGTTAACTGAGTTTTGCCCCATTTTGCGACCTTGCTTGCTACAGTCGTTAAGTGAGTCGCTGCAGTTGTTATGTCAGTGACACGGTTGTTAAGCGAATCTGGCTTCCCCCCATCGACTTTGCTGATCTGAAGGTCGCAAAAGGGGATCGTGTGACCCCGGGACGCTGCAGCCGTCATAAATACGAATCAGTTGCCAAGCGTCTGAATTTTGGGTCATAAGTATGAAAAACGGACATGTCCCTTTTTTTCAATGCCGTGGTAACTTTGAATGGTCACTAAATGAACGGTTGTTAAGCTGGGGACTATCGCTACGCTATCTGGGAGCAATTCTGCAGTTCACAATCTCTAGAGATCTGATGCAGCTACTCCTCAACTTACAACGGTTTCATTTAATGGCCGTTCAAAATTACGTCAAAAAAAAGTGATTCAGGAACATTTTTCACACTTACAACCGTTGCAGCATCCTCCATGGTCACGGGATCAAAGTCAGATGCTTGGAAACTGACTCATATTTACGACGGTCGCAGTGTCCCCAGGTCACGTGATCCCCCTTTTGCGAACTTCCGACCGGCGACGTCAATGGGCGGAAGCCAGATTCAGTGAACAACCCTGTTACTAACTTAACAACTGCAGTGATTCCCTTAACAACTGTGGCAAGAAAGTTCGTAAAATGGGGCAAAACTCACTTAACAGAAATTCTGGGCTCAATTGCGGTCGTTAAGTCGAGGACTACCTGAATTTCCCTGCTAGGTGTCGCCTTCCGCCTTGCCGTAAAATGCATGCCGTTTTTCTGAATTTTGTGGGAGGATCCAATTTGTGGTGCCGGGGGTCGGCAACTCGGGCCCCTGCCCTGGCCCTTGAACTTCCAGGAAGGAAAGGAGGACTTCCTTTCTCCGTTTCCTTCCTGGTTCTCAGCCAGCTGTCAAACAGGAAATGAAGACGAGAAGGAGCAGCGTGATGCCCAGCTGACTCCAGCAAGGACAGAGATGCCGGCCAAGGGACGGGAGTCTTGCGAGTTCCCCAATCTGAAGGCCTGGCTCTCCCGCCCCATCAGCGGATCCCTTTCGATCCCACTGGATTACCGGGGGCCTTCCGTTCGTTGGGGATGATGCACCGCACAAAATGAGGGTGGGTGGTTTTGAGGTTGGCCATCAACTTGTTGAGGTTCTCCTGCCGGAAGAAAAGGAGAGGAGGAGGAGGAGGAGGAGGAGGAAGGAAGGGGAGGGGAAAAGAGATAGAGGGAGGAAGAAGGGAAGGAGAGCCAGAGGAAGGAGAGAGGAGAGATTGAGGGAGGGAGGGAGGAAGGAAGGAGGGAAGGAGAGAGAAGAGGAGAGAGAAGGAACCGAGAGAGAGAAGAGGGGAAGAGGGGAAGAGGGGAAGGAAGGAAGGAAGGAAGGAAGGAAGGAAGGAAGGAAGGAAAAAGGAGTAGAGACAGAGGGAGGAAGGGAGGGGAGAGGAGAAAGGAGAGAGAGAAGCAACAGAGGGAGGGAGAGAAGAGGGAGAGAGAAAGGGAAGCAAGGGAGAGGAGAAAGGGATGGATGGATGGAGGATGGGTGGATGGAGGAAGGAAGGAAGGAAAGAGGAGTAGAGGAGAGACAGGGAGGGAGGAAGGAGGGAAGGAGAGAGAGGAGGAGAGAGAGAAGCAACAGAGGGAGGGAGAGAAGAGGGAGAGAGAAAGGGAAGCAAGGGAGAAGAGAAATGGATGGATGGATGGATGAAGGATGGATGGAGGGAGGGAGGGAGAAAGGAAAGAAAGAGGAGAGATGGAGGGAGGGAAGGAAGGAAGGAAGGAAGGAAAAAGAGAGAGAGGAAGAGAGGGACAGAGAGGAGAGAGAGAAACGTTCATTATGTTTCTCTAGGCAAACCCCAGTAAGCTCTAAGACAGTCTTTCCCCTCTGAGCTCTATGGACCCCCAACTCCCAGAATCCCCCAGCCAGCACGCCATGTTGGGACCCCCCCCCCCGCTATCAACCCTGTCCCAAAAGCCCCAGCTGCGGCTTCTAGCCAGCTCCCAATCCCTGACTCCCAGCTCCTCCCCCTGGGAAGCCTAGAACCCATCCTCCTTGTCCCCGGGGGTGTGTGTGTGGTGGGGGTGTCCCGTCTCCTACCCGGTGTAGCGCTGAGACGGTCTGGAAGGAGGAGCCTTTCTTCTTGGAGCCTTTGCCCTTCCCGCCCTCTCCGCCTGGGGAAGGAGAGAAGGGTGAGGCCCGGAGGATCTCTCAGCTGCACAAGTCCAGAGAGTCCTCGACTTACCACTGTTTCTTTAGCGACCACAGTTATGACGGCCCTGAGAAAAGGGACTTACACCTAGTCCTCACGCTTACGACCTTTCCTTTGCTTCCCTCTTTTCTATTTTCCTTCCTTCCTTTCTTTCCCTTTCCTTTTTCTCTCTTCCTTTCCTTTTTCTCTCTTCCTTTCCTTTCCTTTTTCTCTCTTCTTTTCCTTTCCTTTTTCT